CAAGAGTGGGTCTGTCTTGTGCCCAGGCCCACAAACCCCCTTCTGCAGGGTCAGGGGTGGGCCCAGTCTCTACCCCCTCCCCCCCAGGCATGCATGTGCCCAGGCCTGGGTCAGTGCCACCACGGCCAGCTGCCCTGGAGGCCCCTGCACCACCAACTTGGTGCGAAGCTACCCAAATTTGGAGGGGCTTGAGGGAAGGCGTGGAAGGCGTCAGGGGTTGAGGCGGAGAGGGGGGCCCAACTATAAACTCAGCTGGCATGTGGCAGGTGCCTGCTCAGTGGCGAAGCAGCCTTCCCGCTCCTGAGGGCCTGCTATCATGCACAAGCTAAAGCTGCCCTTCACCATCTCTCCAGCCTCAATCTCGGCCCCCTCCTCCGCGGCCGGAGCACCCCTTGCTTTGGCAGCTGCTGCTAATATTGGCCCGGCCAGCGGCTCATCGGCCGGGCAGCTCGGGCAGAGGGCCTGGGGCACCGGTGACACCCGGGTCCTCTTTCTCCACCGCCCGGGAACCTCGGGGACCACCCAGCGACTGGAGTACAGGTGACTGGGCTTCCCTCCCTCACGCAGCTCCTCCGGGTGTCCACATGTGGGGGGCCGGGGGCTCGGGGCAGCTAACAGGGATCTCAGTTTCTCAGGAGGGGACAGGAAAGACAGGTGGCCAGGGGCCTTTTCTGTGGGGCTGCCCAGAGCCAGGGAAAATTGGGTTTTGGCTGGCAACTTGGGGCACAGGGTGGGGCTGCTTTCCGGGCGGGAGTGCACAGCTGCGCTGGCAAATGCAAAGGGCAGGGGTTCTCTGTGTGAGTTTACTTCTGCTGCACCCCCTCCCCAATCCCAGCCGAAAACAAATGAGACAGTTCAGAGGGCCGGGGCCCGAGGTTTTGAAGCATTTTTTGTTTTTTATACCATTTAAAAAGTCAAGTTCCCCTCTTCCATCCCCTGCACCTCCCAGGCATACTGGAGAGCTCCCCATGCTATAGACCCTCATGATGGAGGAGCAGTGTCCCTCACACCCAAGGCAGTGTCCAGCTTCTCCCTGCCCCCCAGTGTGCCGTCTGCACACTGCGTTCAGTGCTGCCCTGTCCACCCAGGGTGCGGGTTGTGGGCAGGAGGGTCCTTCCCCCCAGGAGCCCACTGCCCTGCCCTGGCAGCCTTCCCAGTGGGAGCCTGCCCTCTGCTTTGTGCCTAGCCCCTCTGTGCTTCCACCCATGGTGGGGTTGCTGGGAGTGGAAGGGGGGGTCTCACGTTATGTGCTGTGATTCCCCGAGATGGGCCCTGTGTGTCCAGCCCCCACCCCACGCCCAGGCAGGGTCTCCTGTCCGACAGGAGGTCTCCCACCCCGGGTGAGCTGTGGGCCAGGTCCCTGCCCTTGTACTTGGCAAAGGGAGAGCTCAGCAGCCAGAGTGACAGGCAGGGGAGCCACCCCCCAAAACCCTGATGGGGTGACCTGAAGCCCCCCCCCCCCAACAGCCAGGGCAGTAGAGGGGCCCAGGGCTCTGGCTCAGGGGCATTTGTTTTAAAGAAGACCACCTTGATGTTTCCCCAGGGGCCGAAGGGTCACCGCGGAGCCCCTGGAGGAGGCGGCGGAGGCGGATTCAGACCCCCAGCCCCCGATCGTTGCCTCTCTGCCGGCTCAGCCCCCGGCCCAGCCTGAGCGCCGGCCCAAGCGGAGGCCCAGGCAGAAGCCGGCCAGAGCCGCCCGCGAGCACAGCCCCCAGGCCAGCTGCTGCAGCCTGTGTCCCGGGCGGTCCCCACGCGCTCGGAACTAGGCGGCGGCCAGCCCCGGCCCCACGGAGGTGAGTGTCTCTGGAGCCCCAGGCAGGATCCAGGTGTCCTCTCCACGCGTCCTTCCGTGCTGGGAGCCCCCCAGGCAGTTCTAGTCCGGCCCCCCTTTTCCAAGGAGCCGAGGCTCCGCGAGGCTGGGGGGCGTTCAGTCACGGACCTGGTGCCCAGGGTTCAGGGGGCCGCTCCAGGCTTCTCTCGGTGGGGGGCTCGGCGTGAGCAGCATCGAGGTCTCCGCAGGGCGCTCCTGGTAGAAGGTCAGAGGGGAGACAGGGAGCAGCCCAGGGCAGAAGGCAGGGGTCAGTGAGCACAGAAAGGAGGCAGAAACAGGAGAGAGGGAAACGCTAAGTTAGCGACGGACGAGGCAGGAGAGCCCAGGGACGTGGCCTCAGCCAGGGCACCGAGCTGGCCCAGGCTGCTGGCTGTGGGGCCTCGCACCAGCGGCTTGACCTCTCTGTGCTCCCTCTTGTCAAAGCGGGAGACAGTGCAGCCCTCCCGGCTGCTCCGAACTGTGCAGGGCATGTGGGGAGCTGACCGAAGGGACAGGCATCCTGAGCCCCTGGGAGAGCTGGGGTGTTGGGAGCCCACTGTGTCAGGTTGGAAGGGGCTTCCCGTGTGAGCGGGTGGAGCGGGGCAATCAGAAAGGCCGCGGCCAGAGCAAGCTGGGTGCCGACGGCCACGTCTGCTGACCGGGTGCCGGGGTCACCAGCTGGGCTGCCCTGGAGGACAGCTCAGCTCCAGGGTCGGGGTGGCTGTGGGGGGCTGGTGGGTCTGGGTCCTTGTGCCTGACCCCAAAGCAACAGGGGCCACCTTCAGAGCCTGCAGGGGCCCATTCGCCCAGCAGGTGACCTCCCGCCAGGCCGCCCGCCCCTCCCAGAGAAGCCCAGAGCATTCTCCCGTTACTGGTGTCCTAAGTCCTCGCACCCCTGTCCGCTGGTGCCATGGACCACACCTGGGTCCTTCCGGAGCCGGGGCTCAGCCGCCTCCCCCGCCCGCCCCGATCCTGACTTACTTGTGGCTATTGGCGGGTGGCGCCTGTGCCTCGGGCGGCTGGGCTGCTGGACCCAGCGGTTCCGGTTCCGGCCTGGGCATCTGTCCCTTGCTTCCAGCCTCAGGGAGGCTGACCCCGAGCGGGCACGTTCCTCCCAGAGCCAAGTGCACAGTCCGAGCCCTGCAGAGGGGGGTGAGGGAGGGGCGCTCAGGGACCCTCAGAGATGGAGCCGGGTTTGCAAACGCTGGGCCTGGGCCCAGGGAGGGGGGGAGCAGCCAGGTCGGAGCCAGAGCCGGGGGAGGAAGCCTGGGAGTGAGAGGCAGACTGCAGGGCCAGAGACTGGAGGGCGCGGGAAGGCCGGTGTGAGCGGAGCTGGTGGGGGGCGCAGGGCCAGTCTCGCCGGGGTGAGTCCGATCCCCTAGGGCTGACTATTTTCTTCCGAATCTGGGTCTGTGGATCCAGAGGGGAGGCCAGGGCTGCTGGTGCCCGGGCGGGCAGGGCGCAGGGAGGGGGG